AGAGTAGAAGTTAAAGTTCTCATCACAAGAAAAAAATTCTGAAACTGTAGCAATGAATGTTAACTAAACTTATTGCAGCTTAAGCTTCCCCACCCCCTTTTTCATCTCCCACCTTTCAAACGTACTTACCTTGTAATCTGTCATACAGATCAATACTGGGCACCATGATAAATAACACCAGCAGAGCCAGAATTATGCCTAGAATCAGTCTCCAAATAAGGTTCCACGGAAACAATTGATCTGAAATAGAGAGCCACAAAGCTTACCACTTAGGAAACTTGGAGCATTTAGACCCATCAAACCAGAGATCATGATTCATCCAAAGCTTATTTCCACTCAAGACCCCCTGAACCTGGGATATTAGCCCTAAGCCGGTTTGGGGAGGCAGTTATACTTGGGTAGTTAAAAGTGAGAAAAGGTCTGGAGTGGGCCTGAGCCAGGTGTGAGTAAAGGTGAGTGAAGGAACACCCGCCCTCCCAAACTCATTTCTTACCATTTATTCTATCTCATGTTCTCCCCACCAAGTCTCAGACCCAACTCAGTCCTTCAGTCCTTTTGTCTAAGCAATCAATACATGTGCAGCCCTGAATTCTCTAATATATTCACTGGGTCTGGCATTAAGCTTCAGAATACATTTAGAGAAATATGTTTATGTAAACTTTCCTCCTTCTCTATTCTATGCACAAGCATCTTCTTTTGGCTTGCTGGCTGCACATGCTGGGCATGGACACCTGTCATTTTGTTTGGTAATCTGATGTCTTTCTTCCTAAAAAAAATATCTATTCCAACTAGAAAACACCAGTATGTACAAGGAAGTAAACCCAAGAGGAGGCTGGAGAGCCTGTCACAAATTCTGCTACTCACAATTTTGGCTAAGTTTGGTGGGCAGGAACCTGGATTGAGCTGGTGCAATTCATGGGATTGAGAATCCCATGACTTCAGTGCCAATCCTATATCCAGATGAGCTCCTCCCCGCCCTGCAGCCAAGGGAGCTGAAAAGAGCTTTGCCAGCTCACAAGCCAGACAGGGACACTGAATTTTGATTATGATCTTTTCTTTATCATAACTTTGGAATCTTATCCATGTTTTGTAATGTCGGTGAATGGAGAATAAGATCTCCCTCATATGTCTTTATTTCCCAGAACTTTAACTCAATCCCCTAAATTTGTGTTAATTACATTTCTTTTAATATATGTTTTTTAAGTGCATATCTACTTTAGGAATGTGTTAACTCAGAAAATATGCATCTTGTTATTTACTGAGGTAAATAAGTTAAAGATTTTATCCATTTTCCTTTCTTTGTCTCTCTCTCTCTCTCTCTCTCTCTCTCTCTCTCTATATATATATATATATATATATATATATATATATATATATATATATCATATAATGCGTAGAACTCTCAGGGCAGAGGGAGGGTAGTTTAGTCTTTCTTTATCCCCTGTAACTGCTTATCTTATAGAAGTGTCTTGCTGTTTGTGACACAACCGTAATATGAAGCTTTGATTGTTTTCCAGAAGGCCAAGTGAGCAAATAAACACAAAAATAATCTAAAAGTAGCAAATTGTTAAGCTTGTTAGGGAACTTATTCCTATTATAATATTCCTGAATCAGAATATTCCTGAAAGTATCTGACTCCAAGATTAATTTCATGGACATACACAAATATTAATACATATATATTTTCTTGGCAGTTGACAAGGCACTCATTTTGTTTTATTCCAATCATTCAAGTATCAAATACTTATTGCTTACCTAATATTTGAAGCAGTTGGGGCATGTTAAATATATAAAACCAACAAAGATTTCTATCTTCAAGTTTTAGAGAGGGAGACAGATAAGGAACAATAAAAATAATGAATAAGTTTACAGAGTAAGTTAAAACAATACATACTATGTTAAAACATTAAAGGAAGGTAAGAAGATAAGGAATCCTGGGTAGTGGAGGCAGGTTGCATTTTTTAAATA